AGGTGACAGTGAAGTCATCTCAAGAGGACTAGTTTAAAAAGCTAGATGACGCATTGTGAGCTTATAGGACAGCATTCAAGACACCGATAAGTATGTCTAAATACCGCCTAGTTTTTGGAAAAAAGCGTGCCACCTGCCACTAGAGATAGAACACCGAACATACTGAGCTATAATACAGTTGAGCATGGATTTGAAAGCCGTCGGTGAAAAGCGTTTATTGCAGCTTAATGAGTTAGATGAATTTAGGATGGAAGCATATGAAAACTCAAGGCTCTACAAGAACGAATTAAGAAGTGGCATGACTTGCATATTTAAAGGCGAGAATTTGAAATGGGGCAAAAAAGTTATTGTACAACTCTAGACTCAAGCTTTCCCGGGAAAATTAAGGTCAAAGTGGTCGGGTCCCTATATTGTCACAAAGGTTTTGCTATATGGAGTTATAGAAGTCAGCCATGAAACTAAAGGTACATTCACAGTTAATGGGCAAAAGCTGAAACACTACTGAGGCGGTGACTTCCCCAAGCAAAAGCCCACCGTTCAACTTCGGACACTAAAATGAAGTAGCTACGGGAAAGTCAAGCTATCGACTATAAACTAGCGTTGGGTGGGAGGCAACCCACTATATCCTTTTAACTTTTTTTTTTCTTTTTTTTTTTTTTGCTTTAGCTTAGGAATCTTTCAATTTCACGTTCACATTTTTTTTTTTTAGTTAGGACACCGATCATCCATGCATATCAAGTAGTCTAGTCACTACCCATATGAAGCCCTATGCATCGAGAATGAGTTGGGATTGATTTGAGAGTTTTGGGTGATTGGGTGTGACATTCATGCATTTCAAGGAACAAAAATTCTTTTTCAAAAAATTTTCGGGGTTATAGTGTGATTTCAACTCAAAAATTAGTTTGGGCACTAAGTTTATGGCCAGCACATACCCCATGTTGGGTAAAATATTTTCAAAAATTTTTCGAGTATGTGAGAAGTCGGGTCAATTCACCAATCGAAAATCACGTTTTGGGACATATTTAATCAAAGTTGTGTTTGTGGAATCAAATGTATTTTCAAATTTTTTAGGTGCATATTTATTATTGAAAAAAAAAGGAGATGGGGACTTCACGAAGCTGGGCGAGTGCCCAGCTTTACAAATTGGGTGCTCACCCGGCATCGTTAAGGACCGTCCAACTTGACGGTTGCCCAGTTTTACACTGGGCAATTGCCCAATTTAAAAAAAAATGTGCCAATAAGGGCTTTAATATTTGAACTCTAGAGACTGGTGGTATGATTTTGAGAAAACTTACCACCTCAAGTTTAGGTTGACAAGTATCTAACTCTGATCACTTTGTGGAGAAAAATGAAGGATAATAATTTTAGAAACCCCCATGTGCTAAAAATACCTCGGGATTGAAGAGAAAAGTATAAGGAGTGATTCTACATGAGAGGTGTAACAAAAAATAACCAAAAGAGGGTTGGGATTGTAAATACATCAACAACACTTGATTGATTATGTTCTAGTACGAGTGTGAGTTCAAGGTTGGCTAATCGCACCCACACTAAGTCGAGTATCGGATAAGTAAAAATTTATTTTTGATGTTGTTTGGATCTTTCTAAAGTGTTACTTAAATTCGAACCTGAGGTATATAGTAAGCTGTTTAACGTTGAGTCCAACATTTGTGACCCATGTTTAACTAGTAATATGATCTATGTCTGAGTTTTGTTTTGTACAGGGACGAACAAATATTTTAGTTGGGAGAATTTGATAAGTGCATTTTGTGCACTTATTTAGACCGTATTACTAAGTTTTTATGTCATGAAAGTGTTGATTATTACTTAGCGTGGGTAATTTTTCATTTATTTCAGTAACGAACCAGTTCCTAAGCAATTGGAAAAGAAAAAAGGGGAAATCCAAAGTATGAGGACTAAATTACAACATTTCAATAGTTGATTCGGATCACAAATGAAGAATAAAGATGTTGCGGGTTCAATTGATGCAATTAAAAGTCAAAGGGTTGAAAATGTAAGAGAAAGGGCTTGAAAGAATCAATAATCGACTTTGGGGGCTAAAATACAACATATGAAAGAAATTATGCTTGGGCGATAGCCCAGTTTTAAATACTGGGTGATCGCCCAACCTGAAAAATTCAATACCGAGGCAAAAATCTATGGCTGGGCGACTACCCGGGTTTTGCCTGGGCGACAGTCCAGGTCAATTGGGGCGAAAAAAATCCGGTTTCCTTTCTTAATTGAAATTCTTATGGAAACAAATCTTGGGAAGTCTTTTAGAGCCCTAGGGACATTATACATTATTTTGGGAGGATTTGTAGAGAAAAAAGAAGGCAAGAACGAGAGGATTCATTCCAAGATTTAAGATTTCAAATCAAAGGGCAATTGTGTGATGTTCTTTCTCGATTTTTTCTGTTGTTTTTCTTTTCCTATCATGTCTAGATAGATTTTCATGTACTAGGAGATCTATGTACCATGTGATTTAATTTTTAAATTTCTAGTTTGCAATTTGACATTAAACATGTTTTAGAATATTTTAATGATTTATATACATTAATTTTCTTCCATAATTAAGTGCATGTAATTATGTGATATTTGGTGGTTTATTTCATATGTTCAAGAGAAGAGAGATAAATTCAACAAGGTATAAATCACTGTAAGGTTCGATAGGTGATAGAGACATACCCTATACTTTGTGTGAACATTAAATGTTCATAAAACCACATGCATTCTTATATATGCATTTGTCATAGAGATATAGGTCGGTGGTGTATAAAAATAGGTTCAATACATCTCTCGAGAGTGATCATTGCGTTGTCAATTTGTGAAACTAGAATTTAGAGTGATCATTGCATGGGAATTCGTGATCCTAATGAGTTTAATTTTCATTAAATACAACCAATATGCATTCTAAACAATTGATTTGCATTTTAATCATATTGAGTTTATTCCAATAATCAATTTTGCATAATTAGGATTTTCTTTCCAAATTAGGGTTTCGTTTAGTTAAAAATTTCCCTTCGGGTAATTTAGTTTCGGTTAAGGCTATGATAGATAAGATTGAACTAATCAATTTCTGTAGGATGATATTCGGACTCAGTTGATCCACTTTATTACTTGTTAACGAATCGTACACTTGTGGTGATTTAATTCGAAAGAACATATTTCATGAACAGGACCTCGAGCAACCCATGTTGAATTCACATTTAGTCACTATTGGCATGAATATGCTGAGAAGGCATCAAACTTGTAAAAACTAACCCATTTTGGTTTAGGTTTGATCTATACAAATGTATGAAATGTGTTATATAGTCCCACTACTAGAAACAATCACAATGTTCATCAACTTATATTATTATGCAGAAAATGCAAAATGGGATGAATGTGAGTGTCAAATTTTCGTCGTCGCATCATCATGGAGTGGCACAAGATTGGAAAGTTTTCTAAAAGTACAGATGGGATATGCGTGTTAACATATTCAACACGAATGTGTGAAAGATCTGGAATTGAAAGTAGCTAAAGAATCACAAAGATGGATGAGACAAGAGTACAAGTAACTTCACGAGCTATTGCAATCTATCGAGATTGAGTACAGCCACAGTAGTAACTACATTCTAGTGGATGATGAGTGGTGGGACATGAAGATTAAGGTACAATCTTTCTGATTACGATATTCATCCTATTTCCATTTCATAGTTGAGTTTTGGCTCGTTTACATTTAGACGTGGTCATTTTATGACACTCCATGGTATTAATGTTGGTGTCGATGATGGTTGATGTATGCGATGAGTTTGTCCAATTAGATGTTCAGCTATTGGGGGTGTTGTTGACTGTGTTAACATTAAGATTGTAGTGCATATATCACTATTTGGAGGTGTTGTCTTTTAAACATGATTAATGTAATTTAGTCTCAATGGGGTTATAACCCAATCTATGGGAGGCTAATATGATATTAAATGATAAATAAATTAAATGAGTCATTTAATTCTACATTTCATTTAGACCATTACCTAGCACCATATAAACTGGGATTATAACCCTAGTAAGATTAAATAACATTACTCTTTAAACATTTATATTTCCTACATCGAAGATGATGGTGAGTGTGTTAGCATTTTTTATATGATAACATCATATTAACATTTTCTACTACGGGAAATATGTTTATCGATGGGTTGTGTATTGACTTTGAGGTGGTTATTATGTATTCTATAGGTCTATCTCATGTTCGGGCCAGTGAGGAGTGTTGATGACTGTCGAGTTATGTTGGATGCATCGCATACACATATATGATTTTTCTTTGAATGAACAGTTTATCGTGTAGATCTATATTTGTTATTGATTTATTTTTCCATCAAAATGTTCAATAACTGTTTGTACCTTATTTATGATTCAAATCCGTATATAATCCTGTTTTTATTGTTATCTTACAACTTGCAATCTACTGATTAGTTTCGAGCTCAATAATATGGTTGTAGGGAATGCAGACTACGCAAAGTTCAAGAACTATGACTATGGAGAGATATGCTATTGGTTTTGTGCCTTTTGGAAGATATGTTCCACTTGGAAGAGTACACAATGACTCGACAAACCTCTAGAAGTGTGGGTATGAGTTTCTTTGACAAGTTAACTACTAATTAATGTTGAAAATAGCGAATTGAATGATCATCCAATAAGAAAAAATCGACCTCTGAAATAGAATCTCAAGTTATTCGAGTACGCAGGAAACGAAGATTCGATAGATAGATGGAAAAAGGAAAAAAAAATACGGGGCTATGGAGTCGTCTTTCTCGATCGACCATCTCATCAGTGTCAATGAGAATCTTGCCTCCATTACCAAGCATGGTCTAAATTAAGTAACGTCATTGTTAGTCATAAAAAGATATAATTAGTTATTTGACTAACATAAATGATTATCAAATCTTTGGACAAACCACGTGGCGTTTAGTAATGGCCCACCCGACAGCGCATTTGAGCTACAATCGACCCCCCAGGTGTTTATCTGAACCAAACGCGGCAATTCCCTTTGCGCCGCCTCCACTCGCCGTGACTTGAACAAAACTGCCTCCCCGCCCCTCTTTCAATTTTCCCAGAATCAGTCAAATGAAATCTCTCGAGAAAAGCGAAAGTAAATTCTTCCAACTATCTTTTTTCGAGTCTATTTTTCTTTCTATATCAGCTTCATTTTAGGGTTTCACTGCAAATTTCACTTCATAGACCAAAAATATTCCATTCGTCTTTATGTATATCACTTGCTCTGCTGATTTGAATTGATTCCATTCGTGTGATTTGAATTGATTATGTTATCCTTTTTCGATGCGATTTCAGTTGAATAAATGGCGTCGATTCGAAGAACACTATCACCGCACCACGATAGGGTGTATCAAAATGGATCGATTCCGCTTTCCATACAATCTCCATCTCAAAAGTTTCTATCGAACACCAAAACCACCTTGTCCCCACTCCGAAAATTTCTGGTCGGGATTTTCATCCAGAAGCACTCTCGAAAAAACAATCACTTTTCCTGGAAAAAGTCACTTTACCGCTGCTTATTGTTTTTTTTCTTAGGGTTTTTGCTTGGCATGGCCCCATTTAATAATGATCTCGGTGAATTGAAGAATCATGATTTAAGAAACAGTGATTTCGCTTTTGAAATCAAACCCCAATTTCTGAGTATCAAGCAGAATGTAGAAAATGTAGCTGACAGGTCTAGGGGAAACGATTTTGTGGTGGGTACGGAGAAATTAAAGGTTGTTGAGAAGGGTAGAGAGAATGAGGATCGTAAAATATTCGATTTTGTGCCTCTGAAACAGCTAATTGTGGTGACACCTACCTATAATAGGGCGCTACAGGCATACTATTTGAATAGGTTAGGACAGGTATTGAGGCTAGTTAGGCCACCAGTGCTGTGGATTGTGGTGGAGATGAATGCTGCATCCATGGAGACTGCAGATATTTTGAGGAAAACTGCAGTAATGTATCGACATTTGGTGTGCTCAAAGAATTTGACTAATGTGAAGGACAGGGGAGTGCACCAGAGGAACACTGCACTTGAGCATATCGAAGGGCACAGACTTGATGGAGTGGTATATTTTGCAGATGACGACAATATTTACTCCCTCGAGTTGTTTGAGAAAATCAGAGAAATCAAGTGAGCCATTATGCATTCTTTGTTCTAAATTACAGGAATAATGTACTTCACACCAGTGTAATTGTCTGCACACTATAAGAGTTTAGAAATAATGAAACATGAAAAAATTGGTTATTTTGGCATTACAGGAGTTAGAATGTGGGAAATGATATAAAGAATCAAGGTTGTAGACAATAAGACATCATCATTCCCAGGATATTGCTTTGTTTATATTCTCAAATGATGATATGGAATGGCCCTTTCCTCACTCTCCGGAGGGAGATGGGTGGATTGTGCTTATGCTATCAAGCTGACAAATGACTGCTTTCGAGCGGTATTCATGGAGATGAAAAAGATTGAATGGTTCTAAACAGATTCGCTAGTTGGGTCAATTGGCAATACGAGAGAGCAAAATCTAGCAACTTTTTAATCTTTCACACTGGATGTATATAGTCTCATAAAATGAAAACATGTATATCCAATTTGAATCCATCTTAATGGATCCCTCGTTACTGCCTAGAGGAGAAGAATAGGTAGGGATGACAGGAAGTATTAATAATAACTCAATGTTTTGTAAATAAAGCCTTCAGGCTCAAGTCATACTTTTGGCTTGCTACAAGCTGGGCTCAGAGACCCCACAGAATATCTGCCATCAAATCACCTTCAAAGAGTTGGCTTCTAACTGAAGCACCTTAAGCTCGTATATTGAATTTCCATAGCAAGCACACTCTACGAGACCTATAGCTAAAGATCATATAGCACCATAGTCTATATACGAACCTATACGGAACACTTCTCTCTTTCTCAGTGCTTACCAGGATATTGCTTTGTTTATATTCTCAAATGATGATATGGTGCAAACTTTAGGGATAACTATCTGCTTTTGTCAGGCATTAGATGGTATACATAGTCATTGTCATTTGTTGTCTGTCTTACCTTCTTGCTGGCATAGCATGGATTTGATGACAGTATAGATATTTTTTCTCAATTGATCTTAGGTCCTGTCGAAATTGAAGGTTCTATATTTGCTTGTTTTGTGTTTGAAGAATTAATAATTGCATTAACCATATGGTATCATGCAACATAATGTGGGGTGACTTTTTTCACTGTGATTTTTTGTCTCAGAGATATAGATGGGGAGAAAAGAGGAGGGGAGAAATGGGGGAGACAAGGGAATCCTTCATTTCATGAGTCTATTGGTAACCATATTTACCGACCCTTTTCATTATTCAGAACCATTGACATGTCCTCAACAATCAATGTGTCCTCATTTGAAAAATGTTGAATGAACTTGGAATATGGTTGTCACAAGTATGTAACTTCCTATGATGCTCGGACTCGGGTACGGGTACGTATCTAAGTGTCGGATATTTTATTTTTTAATATATAGGATACAGGGACATGGTTAAAAAAAGTTCTAATTTTCGACGCGGGTACATGGATATGTCTTTCAAACTTCAATTATTTTTTTACTAAGAGCCTTTCCAAGAGACTTTTTAAACATGAGATGATCTTTATTTTAAAAGGTCAACTTTTAAAATCATTTTTCAAGAGTTTTAAATTAATATTTTAATTTAGAAATTAATTAAATGCATTCATCAACTTTTAAAATCATTCTTCAAGAGACTTAAATTAACATTTTAATTTAGAAATATAATTAAATGCATTCAAAGTGTTTCAATTTTCAATGTAGAAAAATAATAAAATAATCTAAAGAAAAGCTAGATAAAATAAAAGATAGAGAAAAACGATAAATATTTTTGGTGATCAATAAAATTAAGTGTTAAATATAAAAAGCTTGTTGGAGTACTTTAAAATTTTAACTATCTAAATTTATAGATGCTCTTCAAATGATAAATTATGTTCTTTAAAAATAGAGTCTATTGGAGATGCTCTAACCCAATATGTCATTTTAAATAATTAAAATCGATTGTTCACAAAAAAAGAAAATGAGTATTGAATAAAGGGTTAAGACGAATAAAATAGAATCTGGGGATTTAGATTTCAATTATGGGAGGTTAATCATTAAATTTTATATGAAGTAGAAAATGAGGGTTTTGATTGCAATTTAGACTTAGTGGAACACTGAGTAGCAGTATATGGAACCTATTTTTATTTTATATAAAGAAAACCCTATACCTTCGATATAGAGGGAAAGAAGGAAAAAAAGAAGAAAAGGGAAAGAAAGAAGAAAAAGAAGGGAAAACCTAGTGTCGCTACCTTTCTCCACCTTCTTGGCAGCGGCACTAGGTTTCCAGAGAGCAGAAACGAAAAAGAAAAAAGGTAAAGAAAAATAAAAGAAAGAAGAAAAAGAAAGAAGTAGAAATGGTGAAGCATCCGGTTGAAATTTGGAGGATCCAAAACATCCTTTACCCATACCCATGTTGTGTTGTGCCGCACAGGTACTTCGTCCATCTTGAAAAGTCTGAGCATCAGAGGTAACTTCCATGTATTGATGGAAATATTGAAGTATGACCACTGGTAAGGGACTTCAGGATTGTAATGAAGCGACCCCTTGCAAAACATATTTCTTTAACTTACGAAAATAAATAAAATGTTTTAGTGGATGCTGATTTTTCAATGTACTTGAGTTTTCTTAATTTCTTTCACTCTTTTTTTATTTTCCTACTTTCCTAGTGGAGTGAAGGCTAAGCTGAGTAATAGCTGAAGCATGTATTTTTGGGAATATTCAATTAAATGAATGCTGAATTGCCTACATCACATGAAGTCCTAAATTTTCTTTTCCATTTTTACTTAATTTTAGGCAGAACTATCATTGAAAGAGAGTCGGCATCTGAGAATTCGTAGCAGCTACCTTTTTATGTTAAACTTTTAGAACATAATTACATCTAAATAGATTATCTTAACATTGGTTCTTACTTAAATAATATTTGGTTGGAGTAAGGCGTATTTCCTTCCTTTTGAGAAAGCCAAATGTTTCATTCCAATATTTATTTTCTTTGTATAATTGTTCCATCTTCAATCTATTTGCACGATTATTTCCAAATTGGTGTTCTTGGCGTTATCCTCCCCCATCTTTCATTAAAAGGCAATAGAAGTCTTTACTCATAGATTTCTTTTCTGAAATAGTAGTAGACTTAAAGTGACGTGAAATAAGATAATACTCCAAGCTAAATAAAACTTAGAAAATATAAAAATGGAAAAAAGAAAGACAATCTTACACTCGCCTCCCCTCACCGAACCCAAACACTTATCTCTGCACACCAATTTCTTCTTGACTTTTAACTCTCAATACCAAAACCTTCTGCCACCAATGCTATGACCCTTCATTCACTCCCATCAAACTTCCATTGTACTCCGACATGGACATGGTCTCGAATTGGCTTTCAAAACAAATTTACTACCTTGATCTTGTACCTGCTTTGTTTTAGAATAAAATATTAGCTTGACTAGCCTAATGTTTGAAAGCATTTAACATTGATGCCTCTACTAATGTAAATAAATATGTGGATAATTCTCTTTTTATGGGATGAGAAACAGTGGATATTATAAGTTCTGTTTTAAGAGTTAGATAAAATCCAGGAGCGGCTTTGAGAATGTTTAAAGATTGCAAACTCTTGATGCCAACAGTTGCTAAAGTTGCAAATACTTTTATTCACAATTAATGAAAAGTTATATATTTCTGACACAAGCTAAGAATTCTTTTCCCCTTTGTAAAGGGATTCCAGGAAGCTTCATAGATGATTGTTTAGTTGTTTTACTTTTTACGAAGGCAACATTCCTTATATAAGGTCAAATAAAATGTTGAACTTAAACTCTGCTTTACTAAGCCCGTGCCTGATATCGAATTCTATATTGTCTATCTTTGCATAGAATTGAAACTCTCTTTTCTAACAAAGTTGTTTTACATTTGTCCCCTGCCTTGTTAATCAACCCAGTAATTAGACTAAGTTGAACCTAAATCTCCTCAACTATTTTGTGCTGCCCGCAGTCCTGTTTCCTAACTCTACAGAGAACAAGTACTACATTTGAATCAGTGGTTGAGAAATTTAGGCTTATAGGTTTTCTCTTAAGAATCCTTATTTCTGACATCAACCTGGAATCTGTTCATTCGAAAGTAAAAATGTCTGTTCCACTAATCTCTAATTTGATTATTAGCTTTAGATATAAGGAAATAGGATCAGATTGAGAGCTTCAATCCTTTTTCCCTTGATTTGGCAAAATCTTTCTTAATGATCTTAAATCTCAAGTTAAAGATGAAGTTGAGGTTGCATGATGTACATACGTATTTCACTATTACTATTTCTCGACCAAATATTGAATTAGTGAATTTGTTTAACTTTATAATTTCCTGATAATCCAGCTATCTTCTAATACTGCCACTTGCAAACATGACTATTTCTCTGACTATTCTTGTGTATCTGATCTATTCAGTCGTTTCGGTACTTGGCCGGTTGGCATGTTGGCTCAAAGCAAAAGTAAAACAATACTGGAAGGTCCTGTGTGCAATGGAAGTCAAGTAATTGGATGGCACACGAATGAGAAGAGTAAAAGACTTCGTAGATTCCATGTTGACATGTCAGGCTTTGCCTTTAACAGCACCATATTATGGGATCCCAGGAGATGGCATCGACCATCTTTGGATCCAATCCGACAGTTGGACACAGTGAAGGAGGGCTTCCAAGTATACGCTGTCTCTTTTCATTTTGATTGCTGGCAATTTTAAGGATTTTGATGTTGTTCACCTAGATTGCATTGTTAAAATCCTGTTCGGATATTGTGGATTTTTGCAGGAGACGACTTTCATAGAACAGATTGTAGAAGATGAAAGTCAAATGGAAGGCTTTCCTCCAGGTTGTCATAGGATAATGAACTGGCATCTCCATTTAGAAGCTCGTGAACTTGTATATCCTAAAGGATGGATGCTTCAGAAGAACCTCGATGCAGTTCTTTCCTCCAAGTCATAGAATCTGATCGCATGCTAATCACCCATATTGTTTAATACATGAGGTGTGTTATATGTTCTATTCCTATTACTGAAATGCATACCTATGACATCTTTAATAGGTTGTCCTCGTTCCATAATGAGGAACATGGTCCTAGTGAAATTTGGTTGGGTCGGAGAAGTAAGTAAAGATTTTGAACATCTAGCAATCCATACCTCTGGAAAAATATTGAAACAAGAGGCAGAAAGAATGGTAAAATGTTGGGCACAGACTCCTTTACTGTTTCTCTGTATAATGAAATACATGTACATGCTTTTATACAAGTAAGATTGCATGTTCATTCATGTCTATATTCTGCATGCATTTCCTGCTGACATGTCATTTCCATGTAATTTTTAATGTTGGACATACGCAAAGTAAAAGTTAGGCCTTAAGAAACAAAAAGGGCAAATATGGGTGAAGGTAAAAATTCATTTGTTGGTTTAAAAAAAATGTGTCTAAAAGTTAGGCCTTAAAAAACAAAAAGGGCAAATATGGGTGAAGGTAAAATAATCATTTGTTGGTTTAAAAAAAAAAATGTGTCGACTAACTGTCAACTCAAGTTTTCAGGAAAAGGAAATGACAGTATGTTCTTAGATGGTGCTGGAATTTTTTGTTTTTTTCCGAAGCAAATCATTGAAGAAAGGCATTGTAGGCAGGTCTGAAGCTGCACTCCAACCCTCCATAAGAATAGAGCATCGGATAGAAAAAGCATGGATGTCATTTGTAGATTTTTGTCATATAGACAAAATTCATTTTTGTGGTGAGGATTTGGTGGTGGTTTTGTACTCAGGCTTAGAACTGCCTTGAGTTGTTCAGACCCTTGTCGCTTGAGCTCTAGGGTTGAAAATTGATGATTTTCAATTGTTATTGCAATCTGTGAATTAATAGCCGTGAACTCAATAACAAAGTTGGATGTTGATAGTGTACTTTTTGAATTTCTTTGCTTATATCAATGACAGAAACTTCCAAAAAGACCGGGATTCTTTTTGTTTCAAAATTTCAAGATGGATGCGGAGACTAGAATTTCTCATGCCTCAAAATTGGCTTTATTGTTTTAAGCTCGGTTCTTAGGCTGGAATATTTCTAGGGCCTTTGGCAACATGTTTGGCCTAACTTAAAAGTAAAATCACTTAATTGGAATCATATTATTGTTTTCAAATATATTTGGATAAGCAATTTTTTTTTTCTAATTAGAGTAAGGTGAGATTTACTTTCTGTAACGGCCCCAAAATAAGGATTTGAAGTGCTACCAAAAGATTTATTTATAAAATGGTCAATGTTATTTTAAATCACTTATGGCTCATAAATTTAAATTTCTAACTGGCACATCCTTAGAAGTCAAATAAGGTAGGATTTCTGGCAACTAAATTTATAAATTTAATTTGCTTGTGACAGAACATTTTTACACGTGTTAAAATAATTACCATTTGACTTTATAAATATCCGTATACATATGCAATAATGAATACTCTCTCTATTTATATATAAGGAAAATTCTATTTGTACATAATTATTATACATAATAGTGTCCATAATATGATATGACAATTATTCGGTTGTTGATGTGCAAATGTGAGATTTGAATTAAAGGTTGGATTCGATACCACGTGTAATTATGGATACCATTATTTAGATAATTATGTACATGTAGCACTTCCTTTATATGTAATAATATATATAGGACAAAATGATCCAAAGTCCAAGCATGTCATACTTTTCTCTTTCTTCAATGTCTAGACACGGTCCCAAGTTGTGAGAATGCAACCAAAATCAAAAGTTGGCTTATTTTATTAAGGAAAATTTTACACAGTACATCTAGTTTTGTCATACATTTATTACTTAATATGGATTAATTACTGAAAGGGCAGATTTAATGGCAGAAAATTTTGATAAAATAAACAAATAAATGGATGCGAGTATATGACCAATTCCACCACATTCTGCAATAATCATACATGCGTATATTTCGTTTTATCCTATATAATTAATTCTAAATAAAATTTTACTTTTATTAATATAAGTAACACTAAAAGAAAATCAAATAATTCAATCCACTTTTAAATAACAGCACAATCTAAAAATATCCATGTAGCAAGTAAACATGAACGATAGTTTAGCTTTAAAATAAATATTTATAGCAAAGAAATAAAATTACGCGCTAAAATTTTAGATTTTTTATCCAGCGGGACGAGGCGCAACCACTCAATTGAACCGTCACACTCCAACACGACCTGTTCTAACATGTGGGGAGTAGGGAAAATTGTGAGTATATGAAAATACTCAGTAGGATATAAAAATTAATGGTGCGATCCCGTATAAAAATTTTAAACACGTGTTAGAAAATCATACTGTTTCATATCTTTAAAATCCGGTAAGAGCTCATACCATATCATATCATTGTATCGGAATAATCATATCATTCATATCATAGCATTTCATACCATAACTTTAACTTTCACGAGTACAAAAATCATCAACTTGTAAAAAAAAATAATTAAACGAGAAATAAAATATTGCACCTCAATATCTTACCTTATAAGATGAATAAATTCTTGAAAGATGAAATCAAAAATCACGTTCCAAATCTTCTAATTTTCTTGGCTGCCTTAAAAAAATGAGATTGTCTTCTACCGTCTGCCTACGTATATATATTTGTGATGAAATTATGGAACTCTTTTTGTTCTGTGCTTTATTTATGCTGGAAATAAATATACCTTTTTTTTTTTTTTTTAATCAGCCATGAACGTGAGTCTGTATATATGCGTGTGATGAATTTTGGTGCAAATAGAAGTATAGGATGGTTGAAACGTTTTGAAAGAGTGGGTAAATGGGATAAAGTTTAGGAAATCGTATGTGTAATCAAAATATTAGACCAAATCTTACCAACTAACCATACCTCCCAACAATCCATTCATTACCATATACGTGGCACTTTTTACATAGAAAAAGGGAGTTGGTTTTCTACACTAGTCACATGGCCTCTCATCAATCTCTTCATTTCTATTATTGAATTCTTTTTTTTTTAATATCTTTATTTGAATGGAAAAAAAAAAATTTAATCATAACCTACCAAGAATCTTCCTCCATTCACGTCACCGAGGAAAGAATTAATAATCAATTAAAATATAATTTAAAGCTATATCTTTCAACCTTGATAACTTGGGCTCCACTAACTCAAATTAACTTTTTTCAAGCCTAAAATGCATGATTAATTACGACCTATCTAATAAACCCAATATTCATAAACTTATTATCGCTCCGTCACTATCTACATTTTATCCCAAATAAAGTTGAAATTTAGTTTACATATAATTTAGTCCCTAAACTTTCAAAACATTAAAATATAGCATACAAACATTAAATTCCATTCTACAAAAATTTTCAGGACATTACAACCTCCCCTCCTTAAAATATTTTTGTCCTCGAAAATTTACTTTGACTAATTGAAGAGCTCTGGATACTTGGTTCTAAGCTCATCTACCATCTCTCATGTTGACTCTTCTCGTCTATGATTTAGTCATTGCACTTTGACCAGGGAAACTTCTCTGTTTCTGAGTTGATGTACTTTTCTATTCAAAATTATTGTTGGGATTTTTTCATATGATGGATCTTTTTGTACCTCCAAGGCTTGGTAACTTATCGTGTGATTGGGGTCATAGACATATTTTTTGAGCATCAAAACATGGAACACATTATGCACTGTTGCAAGTTCAGGTGGTAAGTTAAATCGATAAGCCACAACACCAATCCTTTCAAGACTCTCAAAAGGTTCAATAAATCGTGGTCTCAATTTTCACTTTTTACCAAATCTCAATACACCCTTCATGGGTGCTACTTTAAGAAAAACTTTGTCGCCAACACTAAATTCCAAATCCTTCCTTCTACCATTAGCATAACTTTTTTATCGGTCTTGTGCTGTTTTTATTCTGGCTCTAATCTTGTCGATTGCCTCAACTGTTTGTTGAATGATTTTAGGACCCAAAATTCTATTCTCCGGGACCCCATCCCAATAGATAGGGGATTTGCACTTTCTACCATAAAGAGCTTCATATGGGACCATACATATAGTGGCCTGGAAACTATTGTTATAAGCAAACTCCACTAAAAGTAAGTGTGTTTCCCAACTACCACCAATATCTAAAATACATGCCCTCAACATATCTTCCAGAGTTTGGATGGTTCATTCTGATTGTCCATCCATCTGAGGATGATAAGCAGTATTAAACTTCAATTTTCATCCCCATAGCAACCTGCAAACTATTCCAAAATTTCGATGTGAACCTTGGGTCTCTATCTGAAACAATGGTGACAGAACTCCATGCAATCTGACTATTTCCCTGATGTATAATTGTGCAAGCTGTTCCATATTGAAATTTATTTTGATTGGTAGAAAATGGGCTGATTTTGTCAAACAATCAACCACTACCCAAATAGCATTTTGACCTATTGCTGATTTCGAAAGACCTACTATAAAGTCCATCGCTTTGTGTTCCAATTTCCATTCTAGAATATCCAATGGTTTCAATAGTCCTGATGGCCTTTGATATTCTACCTTAACTTGCTGACAGACCATACATTTCTCCACGGATAGGCCAATTCCTCTTTTCATGTTTCTTCACCAAAATGTATACATTTTTGTACCGCCTGGATGTGCCATATACAAGGTGGAGTGAGCATCTTCCAGCATCTCATTTCTTATATCCTCATCCTTAGGTATACACAATCTTCCTTTAAAAGTCAATGCTTTATCTGCAGATACTTCAAATCCTATACGCTTGTTTGTACTAATTCCAGCCTTAATCTTTTGCAAAATGAATCCTTATCCTGTGCTTCCTTAATTCAATTCCGAAGAGTGGGTCGAACCATAAATGCTCTTATTTTCCCTGTAGTCTGAGTTGGCGGTGTGATGACTTCCAATCTTAGTTTCTCAAAGTCCTTTAACAAGTGTTCCTGCACCATGGGTAAAACTGCTAACTGTGATCCTGTCTTTCTGCTTAAGGTATCTACGACTACATTAGCCTTACCTAGATGGTAATGAATTGTACAGTCATAATCTTTCACTAACTCCAACCATCTCCTCTGTCTCATATTTAGTTCCTTCTGTGTGAAAAAGTATTTGAGACTCTTGTGATCTGTATAAATTTCACACTTCCCACCATAAAGATAATGACGCCATATCTTTAAGGCGTGAACTACTGCTGCAAGCTCCAAGTCGTGCGTTGGATAGTTTTGCTCATACTATTTCAAGTGTCTTGAGGTGTAAGCAACCACTTTTCCATACTGCATCAGTACACATCCCAAACCCTGTTTGGAGGTATCATTGTAAATCACAAATCCATCAAAGCCATCTGGTATCGTCAATACAGGAGCTGAAACTAGTCTCTGCTTGAGTTCTTGAAAACATTTTTCACATTTTTCTGTCCACTGAAACTTCACACCATTTCTCGTCAACTGAGTCATCGGCCCTGCTATTTTTGAGAAGCCTTCAATAAATCTTCTATAATAACTAGCCAACTCTAAGAAACTACGGACTTCACCCACACTGGTCGGCCTTGGCCAATTTGTTACTATTTTCACTTTAGCAGGGTTTACTTCAATTCCTTGGACGGTAACCACGTGACCAAGAAAACCTACACGATCAAGAATTCTTCCTCGCCTGGTCTGTGAAATAATATTTCTTTCTCATGACATCAAATGGTCCCGTGATTAAGTCCCAACCAATCCATGTCCAAAATAACATCGAAATTTTTCATCTCCAAAAGATATAAGTCTGCTTGTAATATTTCCCCATTAATCTCTAACTTCATAGCCTTAGTCATCTGATTTGTACAAAGAGTTCTTCTTGAAAGTATGCTAACCTCTAATTCATTGTTCATTTTCACACATGCAAAGTTTGACCTAGCGGCGAATGATGTAGAGATAAAAGAATTGGTAGCCCTAGAATCAAAAAATATGTAAGCAG